GGGAAAATATGAACTGTTATTGTTAAAATGTTTGTTTGCAAAGAACTTTTCATCTTATAAGGCAGCCCACTCTTCACAGGATTTAAAATCAGTTGGGTTTTGCTTTCATGTCCGTCCCCTGGCAGTTCCATCCTTTTGTATCACAGGCTCAATGAATATTCAGGGGTTTCTCTTCGGGGCTTGTGTACAATAAAAGAGTCAATGTCATGAAAGTTTATTTTCAGGCCCCCCTTTCCTTTTTTCTGAGTGCTCTGTTTGAAATGTACACATGTTGACATTTGTACAGTGGCATTACTTCACAGCTAATGAGCGAGAAAGGGAGAAACTGTTTTGTTGCAAGTTTAATTGTGATGTAACTCAAATTAACTATGAATACCAATTCACTTCCTTTAATATGGGAGGTATTTATTGCTTACGTTAACAATTATTCCTTTTATTACAGGTTAACCAGATCCAGAAAACTGTAATCGACCCTCTGAAAAAGTAAGTGTCTATCTTGATTTCTTTTACTCTTGAATTTGCTGTATTTTTAAGGATTTACATTTAATGGGTCTCTGTCCTGGACCAGAGTGGCAGAATGGTGGAATTTAAGTGCATACAGTTAATTTAGATGCTTTGCAAAATCAGCAAAACATTGTAAGGGCTACGTAGTTCTGTTTTGTCACTCAGTGTTCCTGATGCAGTAAATCCATGTGACACTCTGGCACAGCCTCATAACATTTTTATTATTTGACCTAACTCTGTCCCTCACATAGTAGGGTAGTAGGTACAGCTATAGTGCAGGGCCATAGGAAAGCCTGCACTGTAGTAATACCAATTGTAAAAATGAACTAGGGAGAGAGCAATGCTGCTGTGGTAGTAGCATGTCTGGAAGAAAGTTTATTTAGTTCTCATTCCTAATACTCGCCCCCATTTGAGCAGACAGTGAGTGCTATTCCATTCTTTAAGCCTCATTTTGTAACAGGCACCCACCCACACACAAATTGTACACATGCACATGCAAAGCAGAAGTACAGAAGGGAGTGGTTGGACTATCCCACCAGTCTTCCGGAGGGCTTGTTAAGGTTTTGCTTCCTCCTCTTGGCTCCTCCCTGGAGATTAAACGTTTTCTTGTCAAGAGAGCACATGCTTATCTTTCTATTGCAAGTTTATGCTGAGTAAAATTTCTTTTTCCTGCCATTTGTTTAAGAAGCCTGTGTGAAAAGATTCCTTTATAAAACATGGATAGGTTGGGTCAGTGTCCGTGAGTGTGTCCTCTCTTCCTCGTGTACTCTGGTGGCGGAGCAATGACAGGATGGAATGGTTCTAATTTCCTCTTCCTGGTGGGCGGCAGGCGGACGTGTGGGCAGGCTCAGAATATGGCAAAGGGCCCAGGAAGCTAGGCCGGAGTCATAGATTGGTTGAGGAGGAGAACTGTCTCAGGACAGTGCACACTCTCTCACATACACAACATAGACACATACACAAACACCTACCAAGATTTGGAGGGGATGCTGTCTCACAGAGATAAATTGACATGATTCTGAAATAGAGCAGAGGAAGTAAGTTCATAAACAAGTTTTGAAGCCAGGTTCAGCTGACCTTTTGGTAAACTTTATCTCTCCCTAAAAACACCATCATTAATTATTAGTTTATCAGAATGTCTTCTGTTGAAAACCAAGACACAAAAGCTACTATACTTTACAGCCTCCATTAGGATTCCATTAGTCCTTCTCTAATGAATATTTTTCATTGTTTCCTTAGTCTCAAAATACTCTTTTGGTGATCTTGTGTCATTGTAAAGAGAATCAGAAAACAGTTGAAAAGGAGAATGTTAATGTTAATGGAAGACCTTGAATGGATTGAGTGTTTGTGTGTGTGTGTGTGTATTTGAGTTAGGTATGTGATTGTGTCCATGTGTAATTGCTATTAAAATTCTGCCATCCATCTTTAATACTTAGTGTGGTGAAATGTACAGTAAACAAATGAAAAAGAGGCAGCCCACCACTTCTCCCCACATTGTTTCTTTCTCTCTCACATTGGCTCAGATGTGAATTTCATCCACTTCGTGGGGTTGCTGAATGACATCACTTTGTTTATGTGAGGGGAGGGGAGCGCGTGGGCATTGAGGCATTTTTGTTATTTAGGCCTCCTAACCTAGCCCTTTCTATTCTATTGCTGTTTTGGTTGAGGCAGAAGTCAAGCCTGTTTTGAGACTTTTGCCCTGGGTTCATGTTCATGACTGGACAAGCCATCTTCACCACTCACAGTCAGGGGAAAACTACCCCCAGAGTCCTGTAGTTATAGGACTAATGCAAATTTTTTTTTGGGGGGGAGGGGGGGGATTGAGTTTGGTCCCATTTTGTTGTTGAATTTCTGGAATAAGAGTTCATTATTTTGCATCCATGGTGTTGTTACCTTATTTTCCCCCCATCTTATCTGGTGTATCAAGCATCCAGGATGCATGAGTTGTTTTGAGTTTTGATCAACAATGCACAAGGCAAGTTGCAGCAGATCAAACTCTCCTTCTGTTGAGACAAAGGGGATTCTGCTGGCATGCATGTCAGACACACAGTTCCAATGGCCCACTGCTCTTAAGCCATTTATACAAGTTATTTCATATCTATAGCAATGATGTAGCCTTGTCTGATGCTTTAAAGTCTTAATATGAGACATTAGTAAAACAGTGGAGGCAACAATATGCACATGAAAAATTAAATTCCCTACATTTTTAGCAGCTTTCTTTTTGTTTTTAGCCCAGCAGTTCCTTAAATGATGGTGACAGACATGGGGACAGCCGGCCTCTGAGACTGAGGGTTTCTAGACCAGTCTTGGGTTTGACTGACATGGCAGCATGGCCTGCTTGTGGATTGGCAGGTGGTCATAAACACACACTCTGGTCCAGATGCTATTTCCATTCAGCCTCTTTACCACACCCTGACCTGTCACATGGACAGTAGTGTGCTCTTGGCAGCCTTAAACCAACATTAAGCCTCATTCAGGCAAGACTCACCGCAAACGCATACCTAGCCAGCTGACCGGTAGTTGTCCAGCCAAGGCCAGGACATCAAGGGAAGTTATAGACCAAACTGTCATAACAAGATATGTATAGTTGCCTTCAACTAGGGACATTGCTTCATATTTTTCTGAGAGAGCCTTTGACACAGCTGATTCACTTTAACTTTTGGACACAGAGAGCCCTGAATGTAACAGCGAGACATTAGCTTCCAGTGTAGAAAGGATAGGAATCGGTTAACACGAAGTTGGCTGTGTATTGGATTCCTCCCCTTTCAGAACCAGGAGGGCAGTGGCCCTTAAGTCTCGTCATGCATTGTAGCTGCTGGCAGTGTTGCCCTCCTTTATAAGCAGGCCATCATTGTGTGTCATGAGGAAATTGCACTGTGCTGTCAGGTAAAGTACACTGGTGAGAATGCAATCAGCCTTTGTGTCACCTGAAAGCTAATTTGCTGCTGTATTGTCATCAGCCAGTAGAATTGTGCTGGAGTACAGCCATGCCTAGAGGGCAGTTACATAATCCCTTGGTACTTAAAGTATTTGTACACTGGAGCAGATAGTAGACTTGAGGACAGGCACCCATCCCTGCTGTAAACTGGGCCAAAGTGGTATTTTATAAATAGTGGTAGAGCGTGGGCTGTGGGGCTGGGCTGGGCTGAGCTCCATGATGTCACTCAAATACTACAAGACCACTCCTTGCTTAACTTCCTGTCGGAAACAATCCCTGCTTGTCTAAGGCTGAGCCTCAGTTCACGTCACTTTCTACTCCCCCCTCCTGCCCTCTGGTTAGGTGCGCAGGCAGACACAGCTGTAATCTAGGTTTTCACAGTCAATCTCAGTGGTTCCCTCATCTGCTGCACAGAGCAGGGCACGGGCTGGCTTGGATGAAACGTAAATCACGAGGCCTACACATTTTGTGGCTAATAATGCTATGGGCAGAAGCGCACATGATAAACTATTGTACTTGTGTGCCTACACAGTTAAGGAAATGCTTTAAATGAGTCATTCAATAAAGCTTTGTCTCACTCTTCATTACGATTGTTTTCATTATTGACTTGCATGTAGCAGACACCTGTGTGAGTAATCACGTGGCCGGCATTTTAAAAACACAGTCACTGGTTTGGGTTTATGAGTTAAAGGGCCAGAAATTAATTTCTTAATGATCGTCTTGCTTAGTTTGCTTTGGTATTAGTTTGTTAATGAATGTTGAGATTTTAATAGCAGCTTGCTTGTGCCTGTTTGCCCCTTCACACTCATTTTTATTAAGCATTGGATATCCTTTGTCCTTTAGAAAACTAATGAAAATAGAGCAACTCTGAGTTTAAATAAATGTTGGTTTGCTGTTAATGCTGCATACATTTGAGGATACTTTTATTGCGTACTTTAGGTGTATTTTTATCATCCAGTTATGTTAACTTTAACTGCTATATTTTTATTAAATATTATTAGGTTGAATATTTACAGGATACCATATTCCTGCTTCCCATTAAAGCAGCCGCAAAACCATTGCAACAAGTCCCAGGATGAAGCTCAGACTCCTGTTGCTAAGTTACAGATAAGTGTTTCCCTATTTTTAGTGCTGAAGACTAGGATTCTTGTTGCAAGAATACATTTTCATTTGGAATATGATAATTGTCACAAAATGAATTGTTTCATGCCATTTTGAACTACGGTAATTAGGTAATAGATTAGAGGAAGCTTAATGCAGAGCTGTCCTCTGGGGTTTGATAGTACCTCTGCGATAAGATTTTGAGGAAGGGGATTTTATTATTTCATAATGAGTTTTATTAAGATGGGATGTAATGCACAGTGCTTGTATACAAATTTCATAGAATGAAGAGCGGAGTTTCTTGTTTTTTTTTTTTTCCCCTACATTTGAGTAGTCTGGTGTGTGTCTGGGTATTTTTTTTTTTGTTTGAATGGGTGTCTGCTTATGTGTATGTTTTGTTCTAACGGTTGTGTCAGAGATGTCTAAGGTTGTCTGTACCTGTCTTGCAGGTACAGTGGTGTCTTCCCCAGCCTCAACATGGCAGTGAAACGCCGGGAACAGGCGCTGCAGGACTATAAACGGTTGCAGTCCAAAGTGGAGAAGTATGAAGAGAAAGAAAAAACCGGTCCCATTATGGTCAAACTACATCAGGTACTGAGTTTAAAGATTGCATTGGTGCACGTGCTGGTCCACTCGAATGCTCCCTCTATCTGCAGAGGAGCAGAGTTCACTTGCTCTTAAATGTTGTGCATATTGTGAATAGAGTGCAGTAAGTGGAAAAAGACACAAATGCTGACTGGATATGAACAAAAATAGTTGAGCACATGTATACAGTACATGTGCGCTCCTTCACCCACGCAAGCTACCAGGCTCTCAAGTAGTGCTTTTTCAAAAAGGCACTGCTGCACATCTACAGGCACATAATTGAGAATTGTAGACATACACACACCATGAGGCCACTACAGAAGCGCACACAATTCACAGATAGCGCTGCAGTGTTGCCTATGCTATTCCCTCTAACACATCCTCACATGGCATGCCACCCACACACTTTGAGAAAAGCACTGTCAGGGGAACAAAGCCTTGAAGAGGCCTCTACATCCCTGCCCTTTGAATCCCTGTGCACTTAAAGGAGTGATCCTGACAAAACATTTGTATGCCTTTTAAACTGGCTTGTTTAAATAAAACTAATGTGACGAGACCATACTATAATTCAGCAGATAAACAATATGTTGTAGTTTGAATATAGCAGCTCCCCCTTCCCCTTTTATAAAAATTCTCACCCTCTCACACATATTCATTGTGCATTCCATAACTCCATGCCTACAGTAGACTACCCACTAATACATTCACACACACATCAGTGGTGCTGGAGTCCACTCACAGCCAAGTCTGCCCACATTACCCACTCCTCCTCACTGTGGTCGTGATTACAGCCTTTTTTTTTTTTTTTTACACTGCTTCTCCGTGGGAATTAGGCAAATATCTTTCTGAACAATAAGAAAAAGACATTAATGGTGGCTCAAGTGCTGAATTTACTTAAAACTAAATTGTTTCTTTTTGCGGGGATGCATTTTTCTGTCATTCTGTTAACTCCTTGTATCCATTTTCGTGAAGCAATGTTGAATGTGTCATGTGGATCATAATATGAACCAACTTTGGTGAAATGAAGGAATTTTCAGTAAAATAAGAAGTGATATTGACCTCTGGTGTCCTGTTCTTTTGTTTCCTCTCTCCCTTTCACTCCCTAGGCGAGAGAAGAGCTCCGACCGGTCAGGGAAGACTTTGAGGCCAAGAACAAGCAACTGCTGGATGAGATGCCCAAGTTCTACCACAGCCGTATCGACTACTTCCATCCCAGTTTTGAGGCTCTCATCCGAGCACAGGTTAGCGATTCCCCCCTGGAGATACACACATAATTAGGCATTCAAACATGCACACATACACCCACCCCAAAGTGTGCTCTTTCACCCTATGATCGCTGTTTAAACAGTGGATAAAGTGTCTGACGGAAGGGAGTGTATAATCCTAGCAGTCTGTTTCCCTCCACACAGTCCTAATGTGATTAAGCCCCAGTGACAGCCCACACTACTGTGTTTAGCCCAGGAAGGCCTCATCTGTCTGGCTCCACTGCAGCCCTGCAAGCCTTCCTCTAACCTGTAGGTTCTCTTAAGGCAACCGGGGTTCTCAAGTTAGCGCCACCGTGTCCCCCCTCCCCCAACCCAGACCTGCCTGGCCATGTCATTTCCTCCTTGGGATAGTCACTGGCACACTCCTAATTAGCAAACTAGATTATTCCAAACCTAATGCTAGTTGTGGAGTTTTGTGATGTACTTTGAACTAAACATTTGCAAACTGATCAATCAGTTTTACCAATATAAAATATTTCCACCAATCTAAGCACATGTTAAATGTGGCCTTTTACCTGGCTTTGTGTGGTGCCAAGAGCTCCTATTAGTCACAGTAGCTGTTTTATTCTGTCTACATTGTCTTTGTAGCTCACGTACATGAATGAGCATTTACATGTTTACACACACAGTCGTACGTGGGTGGTCAGTGAGTGGACTAGTGGACTTCATCCCCAGCCTTGCTGCATGTGCTTAGTTTCATCCTCCACTCCCTTCTCTCCCAGCTGCATGTCGCTGTTCAGCTCCCAGCGGCAGCACAAAAAGGCACAAAAGCTGCCTTTGTTGTGAGCCTTCGGCTTCGCTGCCATGAGTCCTGTCCAGCAGCTGTCAGTGGGACACACCGCCTGGCCTGTCCACCTGTACAGATGTTGATGAATTGAGACATTGTCTTGATATTTTTTCTCCTCATTGTTGAATTCTCTGCTGCATGTGTTCATTTTAAAAACACTTAAGATGACTTTGTTAGTCAGTTGATTGTCTCCTGAAACAATGGCCACACAGTGTTTAAGGACTTGCCAGATAGAATGCAACTTCAATTTTTCGTTATATTTGTAGGCTAATAAATCAGAGTTAATCTCACTGGATAAATATTAAGCAGCTTGTACTATAGTTTGTTAAAATGCCCAGACACATGGCATGTAAATTAAAACTGCTTCATCCAAAGGCTCCTGTTTTTTTGGTGTAGGTGGTGACAGTTGTGTGAGGCTGCGTTTACTCCTCATCATGACTCAACTAATTGTAGTAATAGAGTGTCTTTGCTACAGAGGGCACCCAGACACTGATCTGGAGTACATTATCATCACTGGTCATATGGACATTTCCGATGGCCCTTTCAACAAGCCACTTTTAGGGGGGGGGGGGAAATATCCGCTTTTCCCCCACAAACAGCAGTAACCCAATACTTATGGCCCACTCATGTGGTTGAGGTGGCAAATATTTGTATAAACATATAAAAGTCTTTCAGACTGAGCACTTAGAGGTTTGTACAAGGTGGTTTAGAAACTTAACTTTTCTTCCTTTTGGCTAACTGTCAAATCTGTTCATGTCAGATGGACAGATGTTGCTATGTTCTGTAGAAGATGCATCATTCTTAGTTTATTTCCATCTTGATGTAGCCCTTATTCTGTCATTACCCTTAGTAAATCAGTAAGCATTTCTCCCACTGGTGTCTTGGTTGGTCTTGCTGTTTCGGCCTACAATAGGGGACACATGCAATTTTAGAGAAACAACAATGCCCCCTTAAGAACATGATATCACATGCATTGCTGTATGAATAAATATTGAGGTGTGTGTGTGGGTTTTAAGGGGTTGTGTTTCCCAGTACTTTCATTCTCTGCCTACTCTTGTGGAGCTTTGTAATGTGATTAAAGTCTATTAATCATCAAAGCAACGCTCTAGGGAGCCTGACTCATGAACTAAGGGGAAGAAACAGTGGCGAGAAGTGTCAAGAAAGCTTTCAATGAACACTGTCGCTTGTTCAGATTGAGAGACAAAAGTAGGGTCACTGCCTATGAAGTGCTGAGCTGAACTGTTTGATACCTGTGGGCCTCTCCTCTCGAATCACTTCTCATTAGCGGGGTAGAAGTAGTTTGAGACCAGCAGCTTCCCACTGCTGTAAGGAAAAGCAAGGCTGGACTGTGCCGATTAAGTAGTTTGGATTTGACCTTCGAGTTTTTCCTGAGAAGAGTCTGTCTGTGAATTGTTCCTTGTTCAGTTATCAGAGGACGGATAGGACTGTTTTTTTTCCTGCCATCAGAGATGAAGTTTTTTTTCTTCCTGCCTTCCAGGTGGTCTATTTCACCGAAATGTACAAGATCTTCAACGAGTTAACAGACCAGATCGACCAAGCAGGGTTGACCGATGAGCAGAGGGAGAGGGAGACCGAGGCCAAGCTCAGTGAGTTGCGCGCCCTGTCCATTGTCGCTGACGACTGAGGGAGGAAAGTTGAAAACCGGGAAGGGCTCCTTTCATGCCCCTCTGAATGGGTTGCACTCTTTTCACTGTACTCTGCACAGCTTAGACAGACAGCAATGGTCTTAACCTGATTATCAGTTTTTCTTGTGACCACATCACGCCCCTCCCATTTCTCTTGCACTACACTTCCAGCCTTTATTCTCTTTGTAAAGACACAAACTCTAAGCAACTGAAATGCCACATTAACTAAGCCATCAGCTGAGTGTAGCATTATAAGCAAATATGTTTGTTTTTTTTTTAGTAAAGGAATGAAGCAGCTCTCGTCAGAACAAATTATCAGGCTTACACTTCTTGGTTTAAGAGATGCATTTGTTTCTAATGTAGGAAATGAGCAAAGAAATCTTTTTATTAGTCACCAATCCTATGTTTCCAATAAACTGTGAAACAGTTGTTAAATAATTTTTATTAACACTACAAACTGAGTGTTATGTACTGTATGTTATCAGCAAGAAAACAGATTTATGTATTTTAGCCTTTGCTGGTTGTCTCCAAGTGTAGAGCTCTGTGCCATGTTGTACGAGGGCTTTTTATTGGGGTTTATGGATGATTTTGTTACTGCCACCTGTGCATCATGTGCCTGTGTTGTCCTGGCTGAATGTAACCAACCTGTGTGAAGTGAGATGGTGCTTGTGCAGCAGCGGTAAAAGGTCAACCACCCAGGTTGCAGAAGTCCATCACTGTCTGAAACAAAGGCTGGTGCTCCCTCTAGTGGAAAATACTGATCATGACAATTTCATTCTATTTACACCATCCATCCTTTGTTCTATTGTTGGTGGTTCATTCAGCAAAGACCTGCACATTGTTGGCAGTCTCTGTACCCTGTACACCAGGGGTGGGAGCCTGTTGCTTTTGGCTTCTCTTGATTTTGGACCAACTCATACTGTCATTACACTCATTCCGTTTCCATCTTTATCAGGTACAGCCTCAATTCTGAGCACACACTCTGGTTAATGGGTCAGTGTGCCAACGTGCACCGATTGTTCCCATATCATGTTAGTGGATTTTTTATTTTATTTTTTTTTTAAAGGTGTCATACCAGGAACTTGACAGTTTTATTCTATGAAACACATGCTTTGATTTTGAAATAATTTTGTCACTGACAAATGCTGAGCCAGTTGCCTGCCTTTGTTCTGTAACACACCGTCTCACGTAAGTGGCTGTTTATTTATGAAGGTGTTTTTCTGAATAGCTTAGATTTTAAGTTGTAGTAATGATTTTTTTTTTTTAACTCAAGTAAATTGTTTATCATTAATGGACTTTATTTAGGGTTTTAAATGTACAAATACCAATACTGTTAAATGGCAATGTTTTTGTCGACTCATTGTTTGATCATAAAATAAATTATCTATGAGAAAAGTAACCTAGTCTAAAATCTGCATAGTGTTGCTTTGATATGTTTGAATATCCACTGCCTATTTCTGGGAGTAAACATGTAGAATATAATCTGACAATAGCTTACTACTAATCTTTATTTCTGTTCAGTTTTACTTGGAATTTGCCAACAGAGGGCTAATTCTGCAATTAGTACCTTAAAACACCCCTGTCCTTTCCTCTCCCCCCCACCCCACATTGCTGGTCATAAACATGACCAGCAATGATGAATTTTTTCTGAAGTAATTGTGACATTCAGGCCAAGGTCAAAGATGTTTATGAAGAGCTTATGTCACGGTGCTACAAAAACCCATCAACTATAAAACATGCTATTCTAAGTCTCTCGACAACATCCTATGTCTACATTAAGTGTCACTTGCAAAATCTATGAAAGGAAACGAGACAGGGCAGAGTAAATGAAATCACTTTTGTCTCTGTGGCTTGCTTCTTAATCACTTGTGAGATTTCTTTCTCTATAACTACACAATAATTTGCCTGTAAAATCTCCCACTGAATCAGCGTGGAATTGGTGACGACAACAGTGGGACTGGAACAAAACTGAAAATTGTTTGCATGGAAAAATAATGAATGGAACCAACCTGTTAATACATTACACATATACACCCATCAGGCATAACATTATGACCACCTGTACATCTGTATGCACTTCAATGCAACACTTCTGGTGTCTGTATATTTTTGTCCTGCCCATTGACATACATGAGGGTCAGAACATTAGGAACACCTCTGAATACAATGTAGTCCAGTACAACAACACCTTTAACTATGACCTCAATAATGAACATATAAATTTGGCAATCTCACCCAACACAAACATTTTGAGCTTCATAAACAAGTGTTAAGGCAGATGTGTTGCATTGAAGTGCATACAGATGGTCATAATGTTATGCCTGATCGGTGTATGCAAGAGACTGATGTTAAACGTCTTTGAAGCAAGATACTAATACTCCAAAATAGATTCAGTTGTATATTTTAAATGTTCTTCTCCCAGGTCCCTGCCCTATATTTTAGCTTATTAGACACCAGTAACCCTTGGGTGTTGTGTGTGAATTACAGATTGAAGTCCTTTAAATGGCCGTCTTGCTGTACATGCTTGATAACTGTTCTTTGAAGACTCTGCGGATGTCAGCACGTCTACTTTTCAGGGTGGGCGTGAGAAGGCCATTGGCAACGCTGAACATCTCTGGATGCAAGTAAAGGTCTTTCACCTGAAACAATGAAAAGGTCAAAATTGCATCAAATTTTAGTATCAGCCACTTTGTAGCTTGTAAACTGTCAGCAGAGACTCCTCACTTGTTCGAAGGACTTTAGCCCTGCTTCCTTCCCTACAACTTTCATGTCCTCTAATACAGCATTCTTTACATCCTGTTGGAAGACAACCACATTTTAAGAATTATTTTTTTTGAAATAATCCACATAGTTAAATGAACGTGATGTTACAAAATTGAGAGATTTAACCTACAGGATTCTGGCACAGCTCCTCATAGGACCCCACAAATCCCTGCTCTTTAGCCCAGTGAACAAACACCTCAGGGTCAGGCACAACTATGCCTATGAGATGAGACTGGTAACATGAAATACAGGAGAAAATAAAATATCTCACTCATACCTAGGCAAATCATTTGTGTATAGGTCAAATGAATAGGAATCACACTGTATAATACATTGTACCTGTAAACTGTCCCCATGTACGTACACCTGCAGCACAGGAACACAACGCATGTAGATGTTTTCTATCTTCTCTGGAGCGATGTACTCTCCCTGGGACAACTTGAAGATGTGCTTTTTTCTGTCAATGATGCGAAGTGTCCCATTCTGGCAGAGAAAGAGTAAACATACATCCATTTGCTCACTTACAGGAAACTAGACGATTAAATATGTCACCTAGGCTGATTTATTTCCAATCTTACTGGAAGCCACTGGCCCACGTCCCCACTGTGCAGCCAGCCATCGCTGTCCAAGGCTTCAGCAGTCCTTTCTGGGTCCTTCAGGTAGCCTTTGAACACGCTGGGGCCACGGATGCAAATCTAACACAGGAGAAACCCATGAGAGTTGTCATCAAGCAGCAGAGTGTCTGGTACTGTGTGTAGTACAATTGTATCTTCAGACTGCCTCACCTCGCCTTCTCCGTTCTTAGCACAGTAGTCCATCTCAGGGATGTCAACCAGTTTCACCATAGCACAAGGTAAAGGAGCACCAATGTGACCTGACAGACACACAAACACACCCACTTAGGACAGGAGTAACCAGCACAGACACAAGCAATTTAAAGAGAGGATTAAAAAAAAAAAAAAGTTAAGGATCTGTTGGTTTCTCACCTGCGCTACAGTCTCCAGGCAAAGAAAAGGTGCAGCCTCCAGTGCACTCTGTCTGGCCATAACCCTCAAATATAATGCAGCCGAGAGTGGCTCTGAGGAAAGACAGCACAGTGGGGGAGATGGGTGCTGAAGAAGTCAGGGCGAAGCGTAGGTTTCCTCCTAAACTGGCCTGAAACAGAGTTAATACATGTAAAATAGCTCAGATACAGTGGGTACAGACTAATTTCCATTTTAGCCATTTTCAACCTTGGTCATATTTTCCCATCTGCATTGATCATACCAAGCCAAAAGCTTTCAGTTCTTGTTTGCCTGTGTGCATGCTTCTCCAATACACTCCCACAGGGCCAATATGCTCTGAGTGATTTTGGCATTGATTGCTGGAACAGTCGTGCTTCTCTTGTAAAGTTTGGATACAAATTTGTTGACTGCTGGTCTACTTGTATCACTGTGTTAAGTATTACAAAACATAAATAGTGACAACTGTAAAGCTCTGGATTAACAGAGAACATGGCATTTAAGCCTGATGAATAATGCTCTGTAATGTAAAGCTCTGTAACAAAGCAATAAAAAACTGTTCTACAACCAAGAAGCTTCTTTAAAACCATGAGAAAAGTATGATGCAAGCAGAAATAAAACTGAGCCTTAACTGACATGAATCCTGTTGAACACCAGTTTGTCCCACAGGCTGTTGTTACGTATAACCCCGCTCCTGAGCTCCGCCTGCTTTCTCCTCACAGCATAGTGAAGCAAAGCTCGTCGCAGCGGAGAAGTCACAGAACCCAGGATCTTTATTTAAAAATCAGTGAAAATGTACATAAACATAAAACAAAGTTACAAACCTTACCAAGAATTTTACCTCGTGTTATGTAAATTACAAGATCTGTATGTATCTGCTGACCTTGTCATAGATGCGGTTGAGTAGACGAGGCACAACAGGAAGGAAGGTAGGTTTGAGAGTTTTAATGTCATCCATAAGAAGAGAAATGTCCCCTTGATAGAAGCCCACTCTGGCCCCATGACAGAACATAGTGACCTGTGACAGAAAATGACTCCAAGTTAGGGTTTAAACACAAATGTACATTCAGGAAAAAAGTATTGAGAACAGGATCAATTACCTGAATCATCCTTTCAAACATGTGGGCAAGCGGGAGGTAAGAGATCGACACATCCTCTTGCTGGATCGCAAAGGAACCCTGAGTGAACATGAGAAATAAAATGAGCAAAAGCACAAGGGAGAGATAACGTTCCGGCAGCAGCAAACAGCGAAGCCTTGCAGGCAATCAAACATGCTGTATGGCTTTTTCAACAGCAGCTGAACAGCTGAGTCTTTATACAGAGGCAATTAGTTAAAGTGCCTTGCAGCAACAGGGGCAATCAAACACCCAATTAATCACGCCATAAAACACAGCAGGGAGAAGGACAGTTTTGAGACAAAGACACACAAGTAGATAGTAAGTGATGGAAGCTGTGAGGCTGTTCGCAATTAGACAAGGAGGTGGAAGTGTAGACAGACCTCCAGGATCTTAATGACAGAGGAAGTGTTGGAGGCGATGTTGCCGTGGGTGATCATGGCTCCCTTGGGCTTCCCTGGATAAATAAACAAGACATTATTGCAGAGCCCTGCACAGCAAAGGAAACGACAGCGGTGCCATAAAGAGAGGTTGTTAGTGGGCACTGAAGGACACTTCTCTAATGATGCGAGTTAAGGATAATTATGGAGAGACTTATGAGATCAGACAGTGTTGTACCTGTGGTTCCACTGGTGAAGCAAACCACGGCCAGATCCTGGGGCTGGGGCGGCTACAGCAGGCAGCAATAAAATATGAGAATATGACAAAGGACTTCCTCCACTCTCAATTTAAGCCCCGTTTACAAGTGAGTGTTAATGATATCTTATGGGACAGGAGCAATGATAAAACTGTCATCTGCCGTTTAGAGGGGGGATTAGCTATTTAGTGGAACCATTTTGATGCAGTGATAAATAGCTGAGAGATGAAAAACTTACCACAGGATCTTTGAGGTTCTGCCTTCCCAGATCCTAAGATGTGGACAAAGGAGTTATTCACATCAATTTACACATCACCATCGATGACTCAGTTAAAGGGGGGAAAATTTAAACAAGTCTGTATTACAGGGATTTTCCACCCCGCTCACCATGAGCTGCTCCAATTTCAAAACCTCCACCTCGCAGTTCTTTGCCCTCTCCGCAAAGGCATCACTGAAGTCATTAAAAAGAACCAGGCAGGAGAGCTTCAGAGTCCTGCCCTTCTCCTTGTTCTCTAGCAGAGATGCTGCCTTCTCCTCCCGATCGCAGATCACCAGAGAGATCTCGGCTAAGCACCATGACACACAGGTGAGAGAAACTGGGTCACAGCAGCAGAAGTACAAGAACCAATACATGGATAACTTATAAACAAAGCATGAAAAACAGATTCTATATATGGAAACGGTAACTAATAATAGGACAGTAGTGAATAAAAGGTCAGCCAAAAGTGAGAAACTGGTGGAGTTTTCTCCAAACTTAGTTGCAACTCCAATGAAGCTCAAATAACTTTCAGTATTTTCGCAGGCAATACAAATCAAACGTTTAAAATCAAGCATTTTTCAAATTATTCTAGTGCAATAATCCAACAGTGTTTGGGTCCAAAGCTGTAACCGTGGGTGGAAAGTAGTGCATTTAATCAGGTAATCCATTTGCACTGCTGGTTTCTGCTACATTATTTCTACTCCAATACAATCGTTGACATGAGCTTATAAAATACAGTGTACAAGATTTAACCCCTTACATACAAGCAGTGTCAAAGTGATTTTTCCCTGTAGGGTTCGAGACAATGTGTATACTTAATTATCTCCTACCCTTTCAAATTTAATTTATTTAACTTTTCTCAAGTTTTTTTTTTTTCTTTTGTTATTTCTACAGGCAGGTTTTCTTACCCAGGTTGAGTATGTGGACCATGGCCTCCAGCCCCAGTGTGTCATACAGAGGCACCACTGCCATGGAATAAGTGTAGCAGGCCAGCTCTGACATAATCCACTGTCACCAGCAGAGGGAGACAAAGGAGCACTGTTTCACTCGTGTCCATTACTGTGCACTTATGTTAAACAGCCAGACATTAGGGTCTTAAGCATTATCGTGCACTTCATATTTACAAAATACCACCACATTCAATATGAAAAACACCACTCAGTGGGTAGATTGTTTCTGATGAGAGGTTACAGCCTCTGGTGGAGCCGAGAATTATCTTTCACCCTGTACAAAAATGGCCTTGGCTGATGGAGATATTAAAATGAATTTGGGAGCAGACATGCTCCAATATTAGCTGCCCCAGAGACCCACATTTACCACCAGCACTCTGCTCTCAATATGAATACAGGCAAACACACTTTCAGGATGACTTAGACAACAATAAATCATATTTTAATTTTCAAAGAAATAAATCTGATCCTGGCCTCCAAGAGTAGGACGGTCATTCATGAGATCTGCACTTATATGCAGGTTAGATACCTCTTTAAAATAACAGGGCTGTTTAAGCATTAACCAACTTGATTAGAGATGAGAACAATCTATGTCTTCAAAGTTATCTGACTGATTTTAAGGCTCACAGGTAACCAACCTGTAAATTTCACACTACACAAACAGGACAGGGTGTTTACCTCTGGTCTGTTCTGTGCAAAGATCCCAACAAACTGCTGCGGGTTCGGCTGGCAGCCCTTAGCCAACAGTCCAGAGCCAAGCACCTGCGCCTGCTCAGCCACCTGAAGGATTGGAGCAGGAACAAACAGCAAAGACTAACAGATTACACAGCTGTGACAACTGGAGGGTCAGAATAGTGAAATATATCAGACCTCAGTGTAGGAGATCCACTGGTAGGGCTCCCCTGGCTTCCTGAAACCAAGACACGGGCCATTTCCTGGAAAACACGAGAGAGAGCTGTGTCATGTCCGTTCAAGCATACACAACGTTTACAATATGGTGTCTGTGATGAAATTCAGAGGGGAGGTAAATGTAAAAAACAAAAAATAAAATTTGGAGATGTTAAATCAATAAAGGACCAGGAGTGTATTGGTGATGCCCCTGCCCTGACCACCAGCACCAGGTGAGGCCAACACTTGAGGAGCTCCAGAGCAGTTCGCCACGGTGAGGTCGTCCAGGACAGCAGTGTCCTAGTGTTATGGTTAAGTTAAACCTTCCCTTTGTTTTACTGTTCGTCATGGTTTATTTTAATAGTTGACTGGTGGGACTGAAATAGCTCGTGGTCGGCCCCTGACCTGGACAGATGAGACCTGACCCCGTGTGTGGTTTGTTCCCCTCTTAGACAGCTCCCAGACCTTGAGGAGGGACCTTGTCTAAGAGGGTGTCAGCAGTCCAGTAATGCTATATGCAGTCAAGGGAAAGCAAACAGTGACCTGCCCTTCCTCCCCCATGCTGCACCCCTCAGAGAAACCCCAAGAGTGACCAGCTGACATGCTGCAGCTGCTGGGGACAGGGCGGAGCATCCCCTAATACAACTCGTGGTTTGTTAATGGAGAAAGATGAATGGGTAAATAAGACAGTTTGATAGAAAATGGATGACTGTAATAATAAAATAGCAATAAAAGGGGAGAAAAAAACAATTTCGATCATATAAATACAATATACTTATGCATACATATATTTATGTGTATCCAGATATATATGTATACACATTTCATAAAAAAAATAAATAAATAAAATGACCAAATCTGTGGATATTATTTTCTCTAGTGTGATGTATTCTGTGAGTTTTACTTTGATGACATATCAAATAAATTTTAGGCTAAATAGTATTTTTGTCCATTTTCCCTGCACTAGCTGTAAAAGAGTGCTGCTGCTTGCAATTCTACAAATGGACAGCATTGAATGGAACATGTGGTGAAACTGTCATCACCTGAGATCTCAAGGCCTCTAAGGAACATGTCGTAGACCGTCCTTGTGTCCTCGTAGTAAAATTCCAGCAGTGAGTCATCTTTAAGAAGAGCCGATCGCCTGCAGCTGGGATCTCCCTACATCAAACACCCCTGTCAAAGCCTTAATACACTTATATGATAATAAGATACATCATGTACATGAATCTAAATATCATGAAGCCAACAACGACTGTGATCCACTCACATTGACAGCTACAGACTGGGCTTGTAAATCACAGGGAGGACGGACAGGTCGAGGACGGGTCGCCAGCCAGCACACAGCGAAGGAAGCCAGGGCTCCTAGTCCCAGTAGAGACAAGGGTGACAGAGACAGGGAAAAAGACGACAGATGCAGAGACGGCAGAAGACACCAGAAGTCTTCTGATTCAGATGCTTTGGATCCTGTGCTGAAGTAAAGTGACCGTAACCAGTCCTGGAAATGCATAGCTGGTGGAAAAGGACAGAAAAACAAAAAGAGGAGGCTCAGTGCAACAGACGTTAATACACCTGTGATCACTGAAACAAAACCGAGTACAAACGTTACCCAAATTACATGGACATGGTTATAAAATGGCCTGTGAACACTAGAGCTTAATCCATTTTGGACCCGCCGGGAGTGTGATGTGATGGGCTGTATGAGTGTGAAAGGTGTTATAGATGACAACACATACAGTGCATCCATAAAGTATTCACAGCGCCCAACTTTTTCCACATTTTGTTATGTTACAGCCTTATTCCAAAATGGATTAAATTCATTATTGTCCTCAAAATTCTACAAACAATACCCCATAATGACAATGTGAAAAAAGTTTTTTTGAAATCTTGGCAAATGTATTAAAAATCACATGTACATAAGTATTCACAGCCTTTGCCATGACACTCAAAATTGAGCTGTGGTGCATCCTGTTTCCACTGATCATCCTTGAGATGTTACAACTTGATTGAGTCCACCTGTGAAAAATTCTGTTGATTGGACATGATTTGGAAAGACATACACCTGTCTATATAAGGTCCCACAGGTAACAGTGCATGTCAGAGCACAAACCAAGCCATGAGGTCCAAGGGATTGTCTGTAGATCTCCGAGACAGGGTTGTATCAAGGCACAGATCTGGGGAAGGGTACAGAAAAGTTTCTGCAGCATTGAAAGTCCCAATGAGCACAGTGGCCTCCATCATCCGTAAATGGAAGACGTTTGGAACCACCAGGACTCTTCCTAGAGCCCAACCAAACTGAGCCGATGGTCACTCTGAAAGAGTTCCAGTGTTTCTCTGTGGAGAGAGGAGAACCTTCCAGAAGAACAACCATCTCTGCAGCACTTCACCAATCAGGCCTGTATGGTAGAGTGGCCAGGTGGAAACTACTCCTCAGTAAAAGGCACATGGCAGCCTGCCTGGAGTTTGCCAAAAGGCACCTGAAGGACTCTCAGACCACAAGAAACTAAACTCTCTGGCCTGAATGCCAAGCGTCATGTCTGGAGGAAACCAGGCAATGCTCACCACCTGGCCAATACCACCCCTACAGTGAAGCATGGTGGTGGCAGCATCATGCTCTGGGGATGTTTTTCAGCGGCAGGAACTGGGAGACTAGTCAGGATCAAGGGAAAGATGACTGCAGCAAAGTACAGACACATCCTAGTTGAAAACCTGTTCCAGAGAGCTCTGGACCTCAGACTGGGGCGACGGTTCATCTTTCAACAGGACAACGACCCTAAGCACACAGCCAAGATAACAAAGGAGTGGCTACGGGACAACTCTGTGAATGTCCTTGAGTGGCCCAGCCAGAGCCCAGACTTGAACCCGATTGAACATCTCTGGAGAGATCTGAAAATGGCTGTGCACCGACGCCCCCCATCCAACCTGATTGAGCATGAGAGGTACTGCAAAGAAGAATGGGAGAAACTGACCAAAAATAGGTGTACCAAGCTGTAGCATCATACTCAAAGACTTGAGGCTGTAATTGGTGCTAAAGGTGTTTCAACAAAGTATTGAACAAGAGCTGTGAATACTGATGTACATGTGATTTATTTTTTCTCATTTATTTTTAATAAATTTGCCAAGATTTCAAACTTTTTTCGCATTGTCATTATGGGGTATCGTTTGTAGAATTTTGAGGACAATAATGAATTTAATCCATTTTGGAATAAGACCAACATAAAATGTGGAAAAAGCTGGGCACTGTGAATACTTTCTGGATGCACTGTACCAAAATACTGGCTCCCAGTCTCCAGCAGCTTTGCAGAAGAGGGATGTTCCAGCATGTTAAGGATCTAAAGCACATACACTGCCAAAGTCACACAAGAGTTTCTCATGAAGAATAAGGTGGGAACTGTGACCTGGCCAAGTGCGTCGCCTGACTTGAATCCAACAGAACACTTGTGGGGTATTTTAAACAGAAAGGTACAGGAACACACCCCCTCCAGCAAAAAGCAGCTGAAACAAACCATCTCTGAACAACGGCCAAACCTCTCTCCAGAAATTCATGCAACACTAATGTCCTCCATACCGAGGGGAATTTCGTCTGTCATCAAAAATGAAGGTGCATGTATGAAAATACTTGTACTGTCGTATTTGGCTAAAGGTTTCTACCCTTTCACTTCGAAGCAAAAGCACCATTTTTTCTGAAATAAATTGAAAGCGACAAAAGTACTTTACCATTCTCTATCCTATATCTAACAGAGCAAACGTACTGCTTTTGATTTTCTAGGTAACATTCTTAAATAATACAAGTGAAAATGACACGGGCCAAAACAGCGGGACCCTTAACCTAATACGGTGTAGCACAACCTTTTGAAGGATTCACTGCGACCAAGGCTATTTGTAGCTCTTCGTCAGATTTCTGCACCTGTTAACTGGCAGCTTGGCCCGCTCTTCTTGGGCTGCTTTAACCGCTCCACTTCTCTCAGGTTTGATGGGTGCCTGCTCCCAACTGCGAGTTTCAGCTTTTTCCAAAGATGTTCAGGTGGGTTAAGCTCAGGACTCATAGCGGGCCACTTCAGAATGCGCCAGTGTTTCCTTCTCATCCATTCTCAGTGCTGGTAGATGTGTGTTTTGGGTTATTATGCTGTTAGAGGAGCCATGACCTGAGACAGAGCTCTCTGACGCTGGACATTATGTTGCTCTCCAAAATGCCTCGATAACCTTCTGATTTCATTGTGCTCTGAAAGAATCAAGCACAGCAAAACAACCCAGTCTCGTCCATGCGTCACAATGGGGATGTGTTCATTTCCTTGAAAGCTCAACTTTTTCTTCCACGAACACTGACTGCACGTGGCAGTTATTTTCTTCCTTATCTCTTCAGGCAACTCTCACTTTCATTCTCTTATCTGTGCTCAGCGCAGCGCACACAGTGATACCAAACAGCACAGTGAGAACTTTTATCTATTTAAATAGGCTGAATGCCTGATGATACTAACTGAAGACAGTCTGCTACAGTCCACATATTTTTCAATAGTTCCACGGGCTCCCGATAATTTTATTCAAACCATTTTAGGAGGCCTTTGTGAAATAAGCAAGAATTCTTTTCACAGCTTCTTCATTTTATTCTGTGGCAAAACAAAAGTATGCATGTGCGCATCACAAAAGAGCTTTAACTTCATCTCTTTTCAGGAGAAACAGAGCACTGTATCAATGCCAACACTTACAGCCACATCCATAAAGCCTCAAATTCTCAAATTATTTTCATTAGCAATTAATCTATTGATCGTTTTCAACTAATCAATTGTTTAGTCTGTAAAAAGGACCAAGAATACACAAATGCCCAAAGTTCCCACACCGCTAGTTACCAACATCAAGTTGCTTGTATTCTCCACAGTCCAAATTCTAAAGATTTTCAAGTTAATTGATTTTAAACATGCTATTTCAGGATGTTCAATTCAATAACAAACTTGCTAAATGTGTATAAGAACAATGACATCAGCTGAGGCAACTTGTCAAACTTCACGCGGCTCTCTGGAGCAACCAAAGGCTTTGTTCTCATGTGCAGTTGTACTCTTCAAGACCTGTAAACAGACTGATGCATAAAATCAGTGGCGTTTTCCTTTAAATATCTCCCCTGCAATTCACCACAGTAAACTCTGTTCAAATATACGACAGTCTAGTTTACTGCAAGTATGGCATGCAACAAAACCAAAAGATGTCATTCAAAAACATCATTCCACAAACTAAAATACCAGTCTGCAGATTGGTTACAAGGCTGCACCGCACACAGAGAGCGAAGAGAAGAATTGGGCCTGAGGAGGTGGGGGGAGGGGAGCGACACCAGAAAGTAATAATGATTGGCTTAACAGAAAAAGGCACTGAGGTTACTCTCAGTCATATAGTGTCGCTCTTTTGTCCAACAGGGAGAGAGGAAGTGAGACTTGTGATGCACACGGTAATGAGGTGCTGATGACGAGATGGGTGGAGGATCTGAGTCTACTCCCGTGATTCCCTGCCAGAGTTACTTATAGTTCATATCAAAACTCAATGAAAAATGGAGGGGGAAGGCAATTTGAGGACGATGACTTCCAAATAAGCTCCAGCAGTGAAAAACTACCACTTCTCCCCAAACTGCTCATTTCACCCCTACTGACAGGCCACTTCAATCAGGCAAAGAATTCCCCTCACTGAATAAATCTCTCCTTTCCCACATCTCCTCCCCTCCCTGTACACCCCTCAAGTCTCCCCCACTTTCTCCCCTGGTACTCAATAGAAGAGAGGACAGGGCGATATCATACCCCTCCCTTCTCTTTGACAAGGCCGATCCTGCAAACTGATGCCACGCTCGTCCTCTGAGGATTTATAGTCTACTCTAGAAATCAGTTTATGTGAATTAAAGCCACTCAGTTGCCAATCTAGACCTGCCAGAGTAATAAAACAAACGAGTCCTTTCACTTGGTAGATAAATGGAAAACAAAAGGGCTTTATGAAATGTAACGCATCAAAAAGCAAACAAATAAACAAGAAAAGGACAGTGCACTGTGAAGAGAGCTTCCAGTGTCTCTCCACCACTCCCTCCTCTCTCACTCCCATTCATTATGGCTATTGTTGATGCCCAGACAGGGGCCATTGTGCTCCCAGCTTTTACCCCCTGAAGACGTGAGTCAAAAGAAATGGTGCACACACGAGAAAAAAAAAAAAGTGAAGGAAAACAAATGCACTTTCACAGAGAGCGCCAATCCCTGCTGGGAGAGAGAAACTGTAATGTTCTGGCAGTTTGCATCTGAATTTATATTGAAAGACCTGAGTGCAGCACACACATGACAGAAATGTGTTTGTGAGGGATCACATCAGGCGGAGGGGCGTCTGAAGAATAGCAGGGGGATAAGTTTATGTTTGGTGCAAATGATGTAAATATGGAAATAAACAGTCATCCTGCTATAGAGTGCATAAAACAGCAGAATGGAGGTTCACAGGGGACAGCAGGCATGTAACAGACAGCCTAAGCCTGTGCACACTCAATCCTGCCGACAAGCACAGGCACAGACGATCCAGATCCGCTTCGGCAAAAACAAAGGCGTGACTTGCCATGTGCAATATGTACAAAAACTGGTTTTGAGAAAAATGTAGAATTAATAACAGTGACTTTAATCCAGCGACACTTGCTGTGCATTGAGCTTTAATGTTAAGACCAATGCTTGTAGCCTTCATCAGGGTCTGGTAAAAGCAAGAATTATTTCATATGCTTTTGGTCAAACCTGAGAGCATGAAAAAGTAGTCAAGGGTGTTTTTAAACACAAAGAAAAGACTAAAGTAAACTTACAGTAAGGGTTTGTTCTCTGAGTAGAGCCAAATTTCAGTAACATTCTTCCCACGAGGCAAACTTCCCACACAAGCCCCTGAGTGAGAAGAGGCTTTCTACAGAACGGGGCTTCTGTGTGAACGACAGCAAAGCTTTCCTCTGACCCAGAAAACTACAGGAGGTGACATGACAAGGGGGGAGTTTTTTTTATGAGTGAGAGGCGACAGCATTTTGTACCTACACCAGCATCAACAAACTCTTCACACTCTCCATGTGCCCAGAGAAGTGAAAGGTCACAATGGAGGGGACACATAGGGCTGGCCAGGCAGTGGGAGGGAAACGAGAAAATTAAACACACTGGTGTTTTCCGGCGGCGATTCCTAAATTATGCGTGAAGAACAGATTTGGTCACAATGATGTTTTTCTTGTCGAAGCGGAAGGAGGTGATGAATAACTGAGAAGGACCAGGCATTCTGCACATTGAAAACACCTTCACTCTCCACAAGGCGATCACCAGGCTCCTGTGGTCTCTCGCTTCACTCCGATCAGGATGCTCACAGACAATCAAAAATTGTTGCAAGGTTCATGCTCTTAATTTCCAGCTTTTGAAAAGAGGCATCAGATGCGTGTGGCCAAAAACAAGTCCTACAAAAGTACTGGCACACTGACAAGATAACCAAGAGGTTCTTCGGATGCCTATTTACACACACACACCAGCCATACCTGTACAATTGTATGCAATTCAATACACTTCCACCTTAACATCCATGTTTATGAAGCTCAAAGGTCAGAATATTAGGAACATCTCTGAATATAATGTAGTGGTTTGAAACTTCTTCCATTGTGAATAATTAAAGATTTAGGAATGGTTGTATATCCAGTGGTGGAAGTAGTACTCAGATTATTTACTTAACTACACCACAGTGTAAAATCAATCTGCTACAAGCAAAAAAATACCATTCAAAATGTTACTTACCTACAAAAGTACTGGCATCAAAATATACTTAAAGAACCAAATGTAAAAGTACTCATTATGCAAAATTTGCACATTTCATATTAATACATATTACATTTTTGGTTTAATTATTGACTTATTATTGTATACATCTCGTATATTTTACTTTGCATCATTAATACGATTCTGAAAAGTACAATTATCAAATAAATGTAGTAGAGTAAAAAAATACAATATTTACTTCTAGTGAAGTCAAAGTATGAAGTAGCAGAAAATGAAAATACTCTCCACCACTGTTTATATCGCCAGAATCGTATCAGCCAAGTCTACAAGCAGTTCTCTGGACTCATGGCTTGGTTTTTGTGCAGACAGTGTGATTTGCGGGACTTCATACTGCGGGTGTGTGTGCGCCTTTCTAAACTACGTCCAGTCAATTCATTTTGCCACAGGTGAACTCCTGGCAAGATCTAAAACTATTTATTAATGAAAAACAAACATGATGCACCTGACAACACTTTAGTGCCTAACTGGGTGAGAAAATACTGTTTTTGATTTTTAAAAGAGTTGCTGAAATTTCTAAATGTGTTTTTACTTTGTCGTTTGGGGTCACGGGGTGTAGACGGCTGAGACACATGGCTATTTTATTCATTTAAAATTGACCTCTACAAAACATTCAAGTGCATAAAAGCCAACCGGTCTGCAGCCGCGCACAACGCAAAAAACCCAAACTGTGGCCCTCATCTCATTTCAAATGCTATAAAACGTCATGCAGTAGTTTAAAAGGGTGATTCATTGTCACATTCCTCCAAAGACCACAGCCAACTCTCAGCTCGACAGCCTGAAAACTCAGCGGGCTGCAGCCAAACTTTCCTTACATCGGAATCTAATCGTCTTAGTTATGCTTCTGTATCGAGCTGCAGATGCTGAGAAAACTCAAGAACGACACCAAACAAAGAGAAACCACGTTTACCTGAGTAAAACGCAGCCCTCCGATTTTTCCTTTGATAGCACTTAGTACTTCAGCCGCGGGTCCAACGACACCCACGCGTCAAGTCGGAGACGATAGGCTTTTATTTCCGGAAACAACTTTTATTTCCTTGAAAACAGCTGTGTGCATCCGATTTAAGGTTGAAATCTACAGGAAACGGGATGAAATAACAAACCAATGCCTTTGGGTAAAGACACTGAGAATTAGACCACATTTAAAAATTCCATCCAAACAAAATATAAATTTTAATAAATATATATTTTTTTTGTTTCTCTCTTTTCCATTTGACTTTAATATTGAAGCATCCTGTTATCACAGCTTGTCACCCAGTGGATCACTGTGGTCAGTTTATTCTGTCTTCCGCAACTAATTAAAAATGTTGTCTTCCATTTGATTTACTTTATTTTGAAATTGTAAATCATAACTTCCTGTCTTTAATTTTCCTACTTTCTTGTGACTTGACACTTTCTCCCAGTCGACTCTGACGTCACTTCTTAATTATTTCCATACATTTTAGGGAGAGCTCAATAATGAAATGATAGTTCAGTTGATGGAGAGACTGAAGAGGACACCAAAGTCAGTGTGATGCAGCTTATTTGTTTATTGAGTTACATTAAACTGCAGTGATATTTTCTAACTCTAAATCTATAGTGATTTTACATCAAAAACAGTCTCAGCTCAACAGGGTAGGCAGCACGGTTCATTTATCAAACAATATCAGCAGTCGCTGATACTGTGGAAGTTATTTTGTACAAGTGAATTTTTTATGAGGATTAAAACAGAAAATGAGGAATTTTTGTCTGACGGCGTTTTATTCCCCAGTTCACAGTTTGATCCATCAGAAATCATCCCAGCTTGTGATCTCCTCCACCGAGTCCTCAGTGTAACGACTACAGGTACTTCTGTCTACAGGATGCTTAACCTGAAAGACATTGCAAAGGGGATGAACACAAGCAGGCATGTAAAGCAGGTCCACTCACTGCAACAAGAGATATCATAAAACAAATTATAATAAGCCAAACTGAATGTGTCTTACTTTGGGAATAACCGGGGGGTGTAATGATCTTTTACAGAGCCCATCCCAGTTGAATCCTTCAAACCACCTGAATAAAAACAGGCATCACAGCATATAACTCCACATTTCTAGGCAAATTTCTCAGCGTTTGTCTCCAGTGTATTAAATCTGTCGCCTTACTTGTGCTTCTGAACGTCTTTGGCCCCATTTCTCATACAGCCCAGTCTCTGTGAAGGATTGCTCCTTGATGATGGGAAGCAAAAGAAAGCAGATAACTATGAATTCATAATCGGAGTCCGCCATTCAGAAGGCGGTGTCACAGCACTGCATTTTTTACTTTACACTGGTGAGTGGATGGAGGATGAGGTTTTATGTCTGAAGTCATGCTCTAAAATAACTGTCACTGGCCTTCATGTTATAAATCCTGGTGTCTGTAGGGCATATTTACAACACCTGCACAGTTTCTTTATGAGACTGGAGGCACTTTTGCTGATGGTTTTGGGGAAATCAATCTGATCGATGCCACGAATGGTTGCGGTGAGAATCTTCATCAGGTCTGAGCTGCTGAATGGGAGCCTGGAGAGGAAAACATGAGCCGGTAACCGTCACTTTAATCTGTAACTAGACAAATGAGCTGAAAATGTGAGGATGCATATAACGGCAAAACTTACCCACCACTCAGAAGTTCAAACAAAAAAACACCGAGTGACCAGAGGTCTGCAGATGTATCGTGGCCTTTGTACAGGATGATTTCAGGTGCCACGTAGCCTGGTGTACCACAGAATGTCCAGGTTTTCTTACCCACCTCAACCCTCTTTAAACACCTGGAGCCAATCTACAAAGGCATACAAGTTGATTTACATTCACCTTTGGTAAAATTCAGTAGACTACTCAAAATGTGGACTTTGTTCTCTTAGTACCAGTTTGGCATAACCGTGCTCATCCAGAACAACATTTTCAGGCTTGACGTCTCTGTAGGTGACACCTCGACAGTGGAGAAAGGTCAAAGCCTCAAAAACACAAGCTGTGTAAAACCTGGCGCTGCATTCGTCCAAACAGCCTCTGAAACACGATGTAAAAACGCTGACATCACAGAGAACAAAGCAAACGTGTGCTGTATACAGATGTAAGACACCAACCCCAATCAGCCTTAAAACTGCACTGTGATGAAACCTCGGCTAAAAACAAGCGATAAGACTATAAATATTTTATCAGTATGGTGACAAAAAGGTGCCTTGAATCTTAATCTCCATTCATCCAAAAACACTTACTTATCCTTGAGTAGACAAGATAAATCCCCACCAAGACAAGCTTCTGTCAAAATGTACAGGCATTCGGAGTCTCTAAAGCTTTTATGCAGCCTGTGATAAACAAAAAAATGCATAAAACATGTTAAGATCTAAGATTTAACATCTTATGTAATCAAAACAATCCTAATTGTGTAACAGTTAAAGAAGAGACACCTGACAATAAATGGACAATAAGCGTCCATAAGGATGCGCCCTTCTCTCAGGATGTGCTCTCGGCGACCGCTGTTGAGGATCAGTGTCTTCTTAAGGACCTTCATGGCAAAAAGAGACTTGATGTTGCTCTTTAGTTGCACCTGACATAGGTGAAAATCAATAGATTACATTACAGAAACATGGAATCTCAAGGAGGCAGCAGCACCGGGTATCGGTGTCACTGTGCATGAGCTGCTGTAAGATCAACCCTTACCAGGTCTACGTGACCAAACTCCCCAACTGCTAGAGTGTGAATAATGTGGAAATCACTTAAGATGGAAGATGAGAGGAGGCCAGGATCCTTGTCTAACCTGCTCACAAGAAAAAGCAGGGTGGAGCTGATGACTTGTGTTTTCTATCTGTGCAAATAACATGTCATTCTTGTAGCAGTATTGTAACGTTCCTCACCTCATTTTGGATTCATGGCTTCGCTGCATCTCATGACTGCAGTCAAACACCAGCGCGTCAATGAAGTCTCTGAAGGTCCTGAAACACAGAAGTGCATGGATTTAGGACCAAATTAGAGTATATTTTCTATGCAGTTCATATTATCACAAAATACTCACTTACTCTCTGTCTATCACCAAGCAAGTAACTTCACCAACAGCGGTCACATTCACAGTTCGAATGTCCTCTCTAATGGCAGAGTCAAAAAGTATCATATGTGAATCATAATGTTATTGAAGCACACAATAAATGAATTCATCCTTCTTACCCCCACAGAGCCTTTTCTCCAAACCACTGTCTCTCAGAGAGCTTACAAAGGACTATCTGCTCTTCATGCCCTGGCTTCTTTTCTGTTACTTTCACCTGCCCAGTTCAAAAGAGAGAGGCAATGAAAAAGAGGTAATGGTGGGGGGCAGTGTAGCAAAGTGCCAAAGTCAGTTATAGCCATCATAAAGCAATTTCTAAAGTAACACTGACATTTTGACCTCCACGTTCTAAATCTATTTCTCTGACAGTGTCATTGAATCTTTTCAGCAGGTAAAGCGCACAGCACTATACCTGGCCTTTGCTAATGATGTAAAAAGTGTCTCCTGAGGCCCCTTGTCGAATGATGTAGTCCCCTTGAGTATAGTGTGTCTATGGAAAATGAATGAGAGGTGCAAATAGTGGGAAATCGTTTAAAACAGACAGAGAGATGAATGCTGATAACACTGAAGGATTAATTCTGAAACTATCACCGCATTTGTTTGTTAACTGATGCTGTACAAAGAGAGCTGAAGGTAGAAAATGCAGAGGGGACACTTGTAAACATGATTGTTTACAGGCGTTCCCTGCGCCTGCACACATAATCTATTGACTTATTTCTGTTTGAAGAACAAGCGAGGGTTACGCAGCACTGTTCTTCAGGTTCTAAGAACTTAATCTGTACCTCTTCCATGAGCTCAGACATTTTCATGATGACATCCTGCGGTAAAGGCTGCAGGAAGGGAACACTGCAGACACACAGGTACAAAAGAGACACACTGACATATCATCCACAGTGACAGGTTTGAAAAGGGCTTGATTTAATTTGGCATTTTGATTTGATTGATTTGATTTGATTTGATTTATTCTTTCAAGCATGTAAAGACAGTTGATATGACAACACACATAATTTTACACATAATCCAATATCAATTTGCTTATACCTAGTACATGCTTGAATGGAGTAGGAAGAAGTCAGACTTATCCAGTCCTACCCCATGACATCATCTTACCATCATTGGTTTACAAGCAGTATCTCTACATAAATAATTCTCTTCTACACCACACAAGTAATATACTAAAGAATTATAACAAGAATGTTAACATTCTTACATAATTACATTCTTAAATAATTATCTTCTACACCACACAAGTAATATA